ACCTTTCTCCAGATTCAGTGGGGGCCCCGGGGCGGGGAGGGGGGAGACGGGTATTTCCCCTCACGTTTCTGCATCTTTGTCCATCGCTGCGCTATCCCTACCCCCTCTCCATTGTCTGTCTCAGATCATTTCTTGGGGACTCTGCCTTAGGGCTCCCGCTCTCCAGTGTGTAGGAAACCTGACCTTCATCATCTGTTTTTTATATTTTAGAAAAACGTCAGCTTTACTTCCTACCTGGGGGAGGTGGGGGGTGGAGGAGCAGGCTGCCTGGCTCCGCCCCTTCCTTCCCTACCTCTGTCTTTGGAATCAGTCTCTCCCCCGACGCAAACTCTCCCAGGGGAGGAGAGAGCTGAGGCCACCTTACTGTTGGTCTGTGCTCAGAACTGTGCTCAGGCTGAGCACAGTTCGTGGCCTTTCATCTGAGGATCACCATGGTGTGGGGAGGCAGCCAGGTCTCTGCTGATGGACTGCCAGCTTGCTGGTGTGGGAAAAAGTGAACATTCCAGGCTCAAAGAGAGCCCAGGAGGCTGAGAAATTTCACCGGCGGGAACTACGATGGAAAGTGATTACAGTTATTTCTGCCTGTAGGCAGAATCACAGCCCACCAAGTTGTCCAACATGTTGTCCCAGATGTTCATTTGTTTAATATTATTAACACTACTAACAGAGTACATTCACTGAGGGCTTACCCTGAAACAGGCACTTTACATTTTCCTATTTCACCTATTTTATGTGGAAGGTATTATTATTATTCCCTATTTTCTTAATAAGGAAAACAACATACATGACAGAGGTTAATCAACACTCCCAACCTATCCCAGCTAATGAGACTGGATCTCTGATTGTTCCAAACTCTTAACAGAGTTTTTGCAGATAAATGTATTTTGTGTGCTTCCTTTAAAGGAAACAAATCCAGGGGCTGGCACTGAAGCATAGGGGGTAAAACCGTCACTTGCTGTGCTGGCATCCCAGAGCAGCTACTCTACTCTTAATCCAACTCCCTGCTAATACACTTGGGAAAGTAATGGTGGATAGCCCAAGTCTTTGGGCCCCTATACTCACGTGGGAGATCCAGAGAGAGCTCCTGGATCCTAGCTTCAGCCTAGCACAGCCATGGCCATTGTGGGCCATTTGGAAGATAAACCAGCAGATAAAAGATGTCTCTCTGCCTTTTGTTACCTCTCTGTAACTCTGCCTTTCAAATAAATAATTTAAAAAAAAAATAAAGGAAAGAAAACAAATCCATAGAGCTCCAAAACTAAAACCTTCACAATCCTTGAGACCTGTGTCCCTCAGTTGCATCCAAGCAGAACTTGAAGAGATAGATGTGGAAAATGGGGTAGAGAGGCTGCAAGACACCGCTTCAGGAAGGAGGAGCTGGGAGAGAAGGCCAGCCAGGAGGGGGCAGGTGCTAGCTGCAAGCCAGGGACCAGCTCAGGCTCCAGGCAGGCGGGCGTGACTGATTTTCTGTAGGGAAACAGCACCAAGAATCCAGGCCTGGGTGGAGGGCTAGGGTCAGCTCGTGGAGGCCGGTTCTGTTTATTCTCCAGGTTTTCTGAAAGTTAACTCTCTAAAAGATGTGTCTGAGACATGAATAGGGGTAAGGGGAGACTATAAAGAAGGCTGCTGGGGTACAGCAGTTAAAAGCCACTTGGGACACCCATAGCCCATATCAGGGTGCCTGGGTGCAAGTTCCCACTCGGCTTCCCATCCTCCTGCCAGTTAATGGGCACCCTTAGGAGACAGCAGATGACAGCTGAAGTGCTTGGGCTTAGATGGAGCTCCAAGCTCCTGGTTTTAGCCTAGCCCAGTCCTGGGCGGGAGGACATCTGGTAAGAGAATCTGTGGATGGAAGACCTCTATCCCTCTCACTTCCAAATAAGCCCCCCACCTTTGTTTTAATAACTTTTTTTTTTTTAAGGAGGCTTCTGGAAGGCTGGCATTATGAGGCAGCCAGCCTGTGACAACCTGAAAAAATCGCTGGAAGGAGATGCTTGCAAGGAAAGTGTGTGCTCTGGAACCGCCAACCTCCCTCTCAACGACTGGCCTCCAAGTTGTTGCTGTGTGGGGAGTGAGGGTGTGCTGGGCAGCCAGGGAGCCAAAACACATTGAGGCCACAGCCCTGAGCCTTCTCACCCACCACACTCTGTTTTGAGGCCTGCGGGGAGCCTGGCGGAGAGAGGGCATGTAAGGAGTGTGGAGACAGCACCAAGGGCTCCAACCCACGAGGCCCAGGACCCAGCCCTACCTTTTCTCCAAGCAGAAGTGGCTCAGGGCCTGCGGCAGACTTTCATGTCTTCCAATTATTGAGAATAATTTTTCTGCCTGGGTGGCAGACACACATATATGTGAACACACACACCCTCACACACACGGCAAAGGAGCACGATTCAGTTAAGAATTCAAGAGCTATCAATTAAAAAACACTCAGTTGTTCAAAAAAGTGCAGGCCTTGTCTTTCAAAAGCCCAAGACCCCACTCCGATCTCCAGTTGTCCACGCCTGTGTGTCGGAGGGCTGATGAGGGGCACGGTGGAAAGGTCAGGTGCCCAAGCGAGCTAGCATTTGGTGGGCTCACGTGTGTGTGTCGTGTGTGAACATTCGTGGCTTTTTCTCAGGCACTTGTGCGCACTGAACTTTCAAACCATAACAGAACCACTGGAGCTTGGCAAAGATATCAGAGGAATAATTATCTAATTTCAGAACATGTTATTATAATACCTACATGATGTGTAATGAACTTAACAATGTTCGTGTTCTATTCACGCATTCCAAGACGCAGGCCAGCAATGCCAACCTGCACCCTCAGAGGCTTCTCCAAGACACCTGAGCACAGCAGTGCCCCCCCCAAGACAACTCTGCAAAGAACATTCCCCCCACTCAGCTTCCTTGTAGATGGTTTGACTGGGGAGAGATCTACAGGAAAAGCTCTGGAAAGCAGCCAGAGTCGACCCTGGAATGGCCACTGTTCTTCCCAGTCTCCCAGGTCTTTCCCAGTGGAGGAGAGCAGCAACTGGTCAGGAAATGGCAGCCGCCCTGGGGTCACGGAGGCAGACAGACTTGTCCCGGCTCCACAGCAGGCCTGCTGTGGGGGGCTCCTGATCCACCCAGCTCCACCTCTTTCCCAGGGGGCAGAATTGGACTGAGGCTGAGTGTGAGGGGAATGTTTGCTGTTTGCTGCTGTTCCCTGTTGACTTTAGCCAGTAGCTCTGTTTACAAACCCAGGTTGGTTTTCCCAGCACAGCTAATTAGACCCAAGACATCTGGTGTGAGGGCTGGGGAGGGCATCTGCTCTGAGCCTTCCCTCCCCCTCCACCACCCTACACACACACACACACACACACACACACACACCCCTCACATGGGCCAGCACAAGGCAAAGGAGCTGAGTAGGCTCATCCAGACCTCAAGTTTTCAGGAGGAAGTCTGGCTCCTTTTACCCTGCCTCTCCTGGGCTTGCTCCAAGAGACCAGGGCCCCCAGCTCTCCTGCTGTTAGGAGACTATGCATGGAATCGGGGCTGGAACCCTGGGGTGAGATCCCAGGAACGCACAGGAATTCCTTTCCACTTTCTCACCACCGGTATCCCGCATCCCGTGAGAACACCAGATCTCTCAGGGGCCAGCGTGCCTGCCTGGACACACCACCACGTCAGGCAGGACACACTGGAGCCTTCTCCTCCCGTGTGACTGGCTGACACCTGGGAAGGAGAAGATCCGGGCCCGAGGAAGACAGGAAGGTGCTCAGGGAGGTGAGAAGAGGACCTCGGTGGCCAGTGTGACAGGGCAGCGGGGAAGCCTGAAGAGGGAACGGCATCGGCTTATCTCTCCCAGGAGGGGGGAGTTCACTGCAAACAGCTAATGCACCGGCGTGTGAAAGACCCTCAATTAGCACTAATGATGCAATCAGCAAGGGAGGGGTAGGGGGCGGCAGTTCTGGCCGAGTCAACAGCACCAGCTCCCGGGGCACCAACCGCGAGCACCTACACCACCCGCCGGGGAACCCTGGACTAGGCTTAAGGGTGGAGGCAGAGCTTGTAGGTCTAGGAGAACTAAAATCCAGGAACATTTGACAAAAATCGGGCATCTCTGGGAAAAAAAAAAAAAAAAAAACTTCTGAGCCTAGAATTCCCGCCCCACGCGATGCACGCCAGGCTGCGCCCGCCTCCCCACGCCGGCCTCCCGCTCACCGCAACCTCGAACCCCGCGCTTGGCGGCCACCACCAGCCCCATGCGCGAGAGGCGGGCCCCACGCGCCTGCCTCCTCTGCACGCGCGCGCGCACACACACACACACACACACACACACACACACACACACACACACCTCCTCCCAGCGCCCTGCCCGCTCCCGGGCCCCGGCTTCCACGGAGGGAGCCCTCCCGCCCCGGCTGCTCGTCCTCTCCTAAGCCCGTTACCCGCCGGCCTCGCCCCTTTCCCCTTCCCACCCCCGCTTCCCCCGCCCGGCCAGCTCCGCTATCCGCCTCCCGGTCCCGTTATCCGGCCGCCCGGGCGGGCCCCGTTATCCGCCTCGCTTTGGGCCCGGCGCCCCAGCGCGCCCCAGCGCGCCGCCGCCGCCCCCTCCCCCGCGCCCCTGCCCGAGCTCTGGGGGCCGCGCGCTGGGCAGGGCCGGAGCCGCCTCCGCGCCGCTTCCCAGGCCCGGACGGCCGCGGGAGGAGGTCCCGCTGTCAGTCAGCGGGGAAGGCCGGGCCGGGCGGCCGGAGGGGGCGGCGCCGAGGACGGGCTCGGGCCGGGAGCTGGGAGGCGGAGGCGGAGGGGGCGGGCGCGGGGGCGGCCCCGGGCCTTATAAGCGGCGGGGGCAGGGCGCGAGGGAGGCAAGTGTCAGGCCGATGTGCCGCCCGCGAGGGGCCGGGGCCGCCGAGGCCATGCGCGGGGGCTGGGCAGGGGGCCGGCGGGGCGCGCAGCATAGCCGCCTCCGAGCCTGAGGCGCCCGGGGCCGGGGCCGGGGAGCCGCGCGGGCGGCCGGCCGGGGGGAGGGGAGCGATGCGGCGCCGGCGGGCGGCCGTGGCCGCGGGTTTCTGCGCCTCCTTCCTGCTGGGCTCGGTCCTCAACGTGCTCTTCGCACCGGGCTCGGAGCCACCGCGTCCGGACCGGTCCCCAGGGCCCTCGCCAGCTCCGGGCCCAGGGCGTCGCGGGGGCCGTGGGGAGCTGGCCCGGCAGATCCGGGCGCGCTACGAGGAGGTGCAGCGCTATTCCCGCGGGGGGCCCGGGCCCGGGGCAGGCCGGCCGGAGCGCAGGCGCCTGATGGACCTGGCTCCGGGCGGGCCGGGCCTGCAACGTCCCCCGCCCCCGCGGGCCCGGCCTCTGCCCGACGGCGCTCCGGGCTGGCCCCCAGCTCCCGGCCCAGACTCCCCCGGCCCGGGCCCGCGTCTGGGCTGCGCCGCGCTCCGCAACGTGTCTGGCGCTCAGTACGTGGGCTCTGGCTACACCAAGGCCGTGTACCGGGTCCGCCTGCCCGGCGGCGCCGCGGTGGCGCTCAAGGCGGTGGACTTCAGTGGCCACGATCTGGGCAGCTGTGTGCGCGAGTTCGGGGCGCGGAGGGGCTGCTATCGGCTGGCGGCCCACAAGTTGCTCAAGGAGATGGTGCTGCTGGAGCGGCTGCGGCACCCCAACGTGCTGCAGGTACGAGGCGGGTGCGGGTGGTGCTGGCCGCCCTGGCTGGGAGAGGACCCCCACCCCTCCACCCCAACTCCTCAACCTCAGACTTAAGAGATACGGAGCTCGGCGACTGCCCCTGCGCTAAGGCAGACACGGAACCGAACCTAGGTGTTTTCCATGCACCGCCCTGTCACTCACTGGCTCCTGGGTGGGCCTCCCTTTCCCCCACGACCTCCTGCGGTTCTCAGTTTCCACATATCCCGTTCAAACAGAGACCAGGACTCAGGGTCCTAATATTCAGGAGCTACAGCAGTTTGTTAGGCTCTTAAGACCCTGCTGGTGTTTGGAGTTAGGGTACTGCACACCAGGGAACATGCCCCAAATGACCCCAAGGCAAGCCAGGGGACAGCAGAGGTCTCTTTCCCGGGTCGGAATTCTGCCAGAGTGATAGAGTTCCTGTTCTTGATAACATATGGATTCCACTTCCAACCCCTTGTCTGGCTTTGGAGATGGGGTGGGACAGCGGTGGGATTGGGAAGGGGCAGAAAGAGATCATGTGCGCTGTTTGATTTTTAAGGGCCCCCCTACCACCACTACCCCCTGCCCCACTCAGAAGCCCCTGGGGAGAGGTAGGGGAACGGGCCAGAAAATGTGCAGCGTTTCCCAGAAGTGACTCTGGGGTTCATCCAAACTTAAAGTGGATCTGCAGGAAGCCGGGCTGTGAGGGTTCTGTGCAGAGTGTTACACTGTGTGGAGGGTGGAGCAGACCACATACCAGGGTCCCCACTAAGTGCACCTCTGCCTCTCCTGTTGGCTAGGGGACAGGCAGGAGAAAGCCCCTCTCACCTCCCAAGTTAGATCCAGGGCCAGAGACTTCTCCCAAAGACCACTGCCTCAACACACCCTGCTTCTTCTCCCAGGTCCTTGTCCTTGGCACACGCTGTTCACTTGGCTGGTGGTTGAACTGACTGAGAGCCGAATTTGCCTGCTCTCAGCCTGGTGGAGTGGAAGGAGTGTGCAAGATTCCCCAGAAGTGGGTCTTGCCCGCATTGCCCAGCTCCCGGTCCACAACCACGGGGCTGTAACCAGCTGCTCATACTGTGAACCCAGGCATCCCTCCCTGCTTATCCTAGGGAGTGAGTTGGGACCCAGGCCAGGAGAATAGTGGACAGAACAGAGAAGAGGTATGCTGGAGAGCTGATACCCCTGCTGGCTCCCTGTCCCCACCACTATGCTCAGGAACTTGGGACAGGGTCCCGGGCCCTGCACTGGTGGCAGGAGGTTGTGGGCAGGGCCCACGGTTGTGTGTGGTTCTGCCTGGCTGTGCAGTGGTTGCTGTGTCCAGACCTTAAGGCGCTGAGCGCCTGGTTACGTGGCCATCCTGACTGGGAAGATCCTGTTCTTTTCACTTCCCAGGGGCTCCTGGGAACTTTAAGGAAACTTTCGGGTGTCAGCCAGATTAGAGGGGGCGGAGAGACTCTGAGGGACTTAGCAGAATGCAAGCACCCCTCTCTAAGGACAGGTTTGATGTGTCGCCTACTTTCCTGTCCCACCCCAGACCTCTGATAGACACCCTGCCAGTGCCCCCCACCCACACACACCACAGGAGGGGTTGTCTTCTGAATGACCAACCCTCAGCCCAATTCTGAAGGCGCGCAGGAAAAGCCAGGCAACTAGACACTTCAACCCCTTCCCCTGTCACACAAGTGCAGAGGGTCAGGGGCTGGAGCCAGCCACCCTAGGGCACAAGGGTTCCTAAAGTAAAGTGAGGCATTTTCCAATAAGGAGTAGAGAGGGAAGTTAAAGTGGAGGTCCCAGAGTATGGGTTTAGGGCTGCTCTGGGGGATCTTCCCGCTTTGTGCCTTTTGCCTCAGGTTAAGGTGCCCGTGGCTCCTCTAACAGTTAGCCCATGCTGCCAGGGAAGCCGGGCACAGGACCCTGCCTCTCAGGGGACCTCAGTGTCAACGCACAGAGAACCAGTAATGGTGTTGTTGGAATCGCTTTTCATAATTTAAATTTGCAAAACTGTTTGACTGCTTGCTGAGCTGGGAGGGAACCAGAGGCTGTTGCTAGTGGGCCCCAGGCCCCAGGCCCACGCCCAAGAGCCCCTCTGTCCCTTGGAGCAGCCCAAAATCAGCATGGTGGGTGCTTGGAGAAAATGCTAGGGCAGCAGATCCCATAGCACGGCTCCCAGCACGTGCTCTGCTCGCCAAGGCAGCCTGGTGGCCTGGTGCGCCCTGTCCATGTGCTGCCATGCCTCCCCACCCTCCACTATTTCTCTCCCCCCCCCCCACACACACACTCTGTCTCTCTCCCCTCTCGCACACACACACACACACACACACACTCACACACTCTCTCTCTCTCTCTCCCCCTTTCCCTCCCTCACTCCCTCACGTGATAGATGCCTCAGGATCCTGGGGTCAGAGGGCACACGGGTCTTCCCTTCCCCCACCCCTGCCATCCTGGGGGCCCGCCGGCCTCCGCCAGCCCAAGTTCTGACCCTGCTGGAGTATATTTCTTCTCTCGCCTAAACAAAAGATGCGCTCAGACCTCTTATTCCTGTGCTTCCTGGGGAAAGGCGGGGCGGGGGGGGGGGTGCAATGGTGTCTTTTTATTTTTTCCTGAGGGGTGTTGATTAATACCTCGTTAACAGCACATTTAACGACCTCCGAGTGTTTAATAACCTTCAGAAGTTTCCCACAAAGGCTCACAGACTCTGGGCAAGAAAATGAGAACCAGGCTCCAGGGCTGCTCCCCTTTGCCTTACCCTCCCACCCCAGGAGGATTGGGGCTTCTCTGATCCCATGGGGGGGAGAAGTATGGGGAGAGAGGGGAAGAAGGTCTTGAAACTTACGCCTTCACCCCACCCTCCCGAGTCACAGCCCAAGTGATCTGACAACCAGCCAGCAGGGCTTGGACCGCTGGCCCCAGGGGGAGCTGCCAGGGTTGTCCTGAGGAGAGAGGCAGGCACCAAAGGGGACCTGGGATGGACCGCAGGGGACAACAGACAGGTCCATGGAGCCACAGACTTGGCCTGCCCCATCCTCCCCGTCTCCTGGGAATCTGTCATCTTGCCTTGGTCCAGCCCTGAGTGACCAACCCCCAGCCCATTTCTGAAGGCACCGCGCAGGAAAAGCTGGGCAGCTAGACACTTCAACCCCTTCCCGTGTCACGCAAATGCAGAGGGTCAGGGGCCGGAGTCGGCCACCCTTGGGTACAAGGGTTCCTAAAGTAAAGCTGAGCCTTGGTATTGCCAGCCTGTGGGTGCTGGCTGTTGTAAGCCTCAGCCAAGCCCCCAGCGGCCGTGCAGCGTGTGGAGAGGGACTGATCAAGCTGAGCTAGTGCTTGCCAGAGGTCCCTGCCTAGCCAGTTGGTGATGAGTTGGCAGCTACCTGTGGCCAGGCTGCCCTGGAACCTCTCTCCCTGCTGCCTCCTTCTATACACATTCCGCCCCTGCCTGGTGCCCCGAACGCTCATGCACAGCACCTCCAGGAGTATGCCCCTCGAGTTGCTTTTGTTCTTATCAACACTAGTTCCTCCCATGGAGCAGAGGAAGGGGAAAATGGAGCTGTCAGAAAGTGGAAAGGATAAGGGTTAGACAGGGCTTGGAGGAGGGGCAATGCTTATGTAGGAGCTCAGATATTAGCAGACAGTATTCTTGGAAAGAACCAGGGTGTAGAATCAGAGTGGCATACACATGGATGCCAGCTCCCACGTTTCTTTGCTGTGGGATTTTACATAAGCAACTTCACCTCTCTGATTGCCTCACCTGTAATTGGAGCAAATCACAGTACCCACAGTTCCTGTGGGGATTATCATAGGAACCGAGTTTTCCATGTGGGGCATTTAGCGTGGTGTCCGGCCTGTGCTTCACATGTGGTGGCCACACCTGTCCATTTACCCAGGTAGCCAGAGGTGAGGGTTCACACAATCAGGTGATGGCCACAAGGAGGTGAGGGCAGGCTTCCCAGGCAGCACTCCTGTTCTCTTCCAGCCTGAGCTGAAGCAAAGGCCTCGGGGTAGCTGAGGAGGGGCAGCATCTGACAGTGCAGCCCATCTCTGCCCCTACCCCCACGCTGTGACCTAATGACCTGCCCTGGGCTTCCCCCAGCTCTATGGCTACTGCTACCAGGACAGCGAGGACATCCCGGACACCCTGACCACCATCACGGAGCTGGGCGCCCCTGTGGAGATGATCCAGCTGCTGCAGACCTCCTGGGAGGACCGGTTCCGAGTGAGCAGGGGAGGCGGGCTGGAGTCCCAGGTTCTCCCTTAGAAGGCCAGCCCTGCAGAATAGCTCTCGCTGCCCCTCAGCCAGCTGGTGCACCCTCCCAGCTCAGGGGAGAAAGGGGGAGGGGGAGGGAGGGAGCACTGGCTGCCTCTGCCATCAGCCATGGGGTTAAAAGAGAGAAGACATAGGGCACCCTGAGCCCTTGCCCTCCTCGACGCCCCCGCCCAGCCCCCACACCCCTGCACAGAAAACTCACACGCAATATGCACTCCCTCAGCCTGCTGCAAGAAGGCCTGTATCCTGGAGCCAGTCCTTGTGAACCTTCCTCCATGTCCGTACCCTGAATTAAACCAGCACTCCAGATGGACTTTCAAGAAAACCATTTTTGCTATGCCAGACACCAGCATCCACTCCCCACTATCTCCCATTCACTCCACGATTGCAGGGTCAGACCAGCCAGGGGTTGTTAGAAAATTCACCAACCTCTTCCGTTAAGTCCCCTGGCTTCAACCCTTACTGAGCATCAGGACCCACAAAAGAGAATCCCCCAGCTTTAGCCTGAGGCCCAGAGGAAAGAGCCTCGGCTCAGGACCGAACTCGCGTCTGCTCCTCAGATCTGCCTCAGCCTGGGCCGTCTCCTCCACCACCTGGCCCACTCTCCGCTGGGCTCGGTGACTCTGCTGGACTTCCGCCCTCGGCAGTTTGTGCTGGTGGACGGGGAGCTGAAGGTGACAGACCTGGATGATGCACGCGTGGAGGAAACACCATGTGCAAGCAGCACCGACTGCATTCTTGAGTTTCCAGCCAGGAACTTCACCCTGCCCTGCTCAGCTCAGGGCTGGTGCGAGGGCATGAATGAGAAACGCAACCTCTACAATGCTTACAGGTGACCTCCACCCCCTACGCCCCACTAGATCATCAAGAGAGGGAGGGAGGGCCTAGGAGGTCAGCACAGGAAGAGAGCCAGGATTGGGTCTGGGAGGCCAGCTGGGAAAGGGAGATGCAGCCTTGACCAATGGGGCTGCTAGTAGAGGAAGGCTGCCACCCCGTCAAAAAAGTTTATGAGGGTGAAGCTAAAAATAGACCGCTCCAAGGAGAATTTGGGGCTGCAGGGTGGCAGCTGGAGGCTTCTTAAAATAGTGTTGCACTTAGAGCCCAGGGCTGCTGGGACTGGCACTTTCCTTCCCACCCTGGCTCTTGACCTCTGCAAAGCTGCCCGACTGAGCCACTGTGATACCAGGGTCATTTGGGAAAACTGGAGACTGGTCCATGTAGAAGTCCTGGGGAAGCAGGGACCAAATAGACTTTGGCTTCTACTTTCTTCACAAATGCCCAATCTCATCTCTGAATCTAAGCAGGTACCACAGCATGCCTTGGGGTGTGCCTGGTGGCCAAGAACCAGTCTCCCTGGCCTGGCTAGGCTGGGTCTCTTTCTGGAGTTGGGGATGTGTCCTCCAGAGCCAGGAGGATCCTGAGCCCTGGTTTCTCCCGGCCACAGGTTTTTCTTCACCTACCTCCTGCCCCACAGTGCCCCACCCTCACTGCGGCCCCTGCTGGACAGCATCGTCAATGCCACAGGTGAGTGCCCAGGGGACCCTCTGCTTCCCATTGCCTGACCCTTCCCAGCAGGATAGAAACAGTGACCAAGGCTGCAAAGGAGACACCGCCCTTTCCCCCCATGGCAGCATCTGTGATGGGCCCTCCCCTGCCCACCAGTCAGACACCTGCACTCAGGCCACTTGAGGGGGCGCAAGGAAGGTGGAACAGCTGGCTATGTACCTTAGGGCAGACTGGGACATGAGGCCCCCTGCCCATGCCTCATTGCACTCCACAGGAGAGCTCACCTGGGGGGTGGACGAGACCCTGAGCCAGCTGGAGAAGGTGCTGCACCTGTACCGGAGCGGGCAATACCTGCAGAACTCCTCAGCGAGCAACAGTGCTGGTGAGTGGTGCCAACAGGGACCCCCATACTAGGAAGGGAGAGACAGGTTTGCGGGAATTGAAGGGACCACCACCCCTCCAAGAACTCTTGTCTCCCAGAGCCACTCTTAGGAGTCCAGCTGGAGTGATGCCAAGTGTTCAGCCTTCATTTGGAGCTCTCCACTCTGGCTGAGCTGGGAGAGCTGAGGGGGAAGCTGTGGCATCCTTCCTCCAGATGGCTCCCACGCTACCATATGCAGGCTGCATGACTGAGCAAGTCACTGCCTCGAACCTGACTCTCCTCATCTGTGAGTTGGGTTCCATAGTACCCACCTCACAAAATACTAGTGGGGAGTAAGTACCAGGTGGGGTGGGTGAAAGCAGGAGTGCACTTCCTATTGCACCATGGAAACAGCCTGCCTTGGCTTCTCTTGTCCTCCTCTGCTCCCCTGGGTGGGGAAGGGGCTGTCCAAGGCACTACCACGACGCCCCTGGGGGTGGGGAGAGTTCCAGCCCCAGTTGCAGGTTGTAGTCTGCCCATTGAAGCCTTGGGGTTTGACCATGGTTGACAGGGCAAGGGGTCCACAGCCTGCCTGCTCAAGAAGCCCTGGCCAGTCTCAGGGGTGGGGGAACCCTCGTTAGCCCTGTAAATAAAGTTTAACGAGGTGAACAATGGCTGGCTCTGTCCCTGAGGAGGCCGTTTATGGGGCCATAAATCACAGCCAGCCCTGGACTTTGGTCTAGGCTCTGGTAGGAGAAGGAGGCAGGAGGGCGGGGAGGCCGAGGTCCAGAGCTGGGGCTCCATGGCAAAATGAACACGAGCTCTGTAGATGACTGGGAGTTGTTTTCAGGGCCTCTGCAGAGCTCTCTGTGTAATGGGAAGATCACAGCTTCTTCCTCTAGCCCCCTCCTCAACACTCTAACCATGGGTGTTTTGCATACCTCTCTTAACTTGCCAAGTCCCTGACTGTTCCCCCAATCCCCGGCCTGTCTGTGCAGCTTGCTCACCACAGTGCCCCAAGGCTGGGAGCACCCATGGGAGAGGGACACTCTGAGAATGACCCACAGACCAGTAGCCCTGGTTGAAATGCAGATTCTCAGGTGTCCACACCAAATCTGCACTCTGACAAGTTCCCGAGCAATTCATGGGCACCACTCCAGTCAGAGAAGCCCAGCTCCCAATGCCTCCACCGCCCTGACCTCAGTGATTAGCCTGGCAGCTGGCGGTAGCTCAGTGGGTACAATTTGGAACACACACAAGCGTTCATGCACACGCATATGCACACACACACACTCACAGACACTCAGCATCCTGTACTGCCCATGCCAGCTGTGGGCCCTGAGATCTGAGAATTGCTTCTTCCCAAGACCAAATCAGTGCCCGCCTTGTTTGAGCAGCCTGCCCAGTTTCAGCCGTGGTGACTGGCGTTATCTCCACGCTAGGGGCCGAGCTTCAACTTCTTCCTGCAAGATGAGTCCTGCAGCTCTTTGAAGCAAGTGGCCCCTGTCCCTGCCACTGGGCACACAGCGTTGGCATTTTGCTCTGTCCTCCGCCCACAGAATACCAGCGCCTCCCAGACAGCACCATCCCCCAGGAGGACTACCGCTGCTGGCCATCCTACCACCACGGAGGCTGTCTCCTTTCAGTCTTCAACCTGGCTGAGGCCGTGGACGTCTGTGAGAGCCATGCCCAGTGCCATGCCTTTGTGGTCACTAACCAGACCACCTGGACAGGTGTGCCACTGGGAGAGGGCATCCCCAGGGGAGGTTGACAGGAAGTGAGTCCTCCTGGGAAGCCAGCGCAGAGGCTGGGATGGTGGGTGGGTGTGCCCATGTCTTCAAGGCATTAGAGAGAGAAGTCTCCAGCCTCCTTACCTCTCACCTCTGCCACCAGGTCGCAAGCTGGTCTTTTTCAAAAGTGGATGGAGCCAAGTGGTCCCAGATCCCAACAAGACCACCTATGTGAGAACCTCTGGCTGACTGGGCTGAAGGCTCCACTGACCAGCTGACCAACCCTGCCGGCTGGACTGACCCACAGCAGGAGGGACTTGCACAAGCAGTATGGCATGTCACCTGGGGCCCCCTGTAGACATGGCTGCCATCCCAGACAGATTGATGTGACCAGGACAAATGTGCAATAATGCAAAATGTTAAAATGTGAGTTTACCAACCTAGGTATGGGACTGCTGGCTTCTGGGCCGGGACTCATGGGAGGTTGGCCCAGGGCCTCTCCAAATCCTCTGGGCTGTGAGCATAGCTCAGGCCAGCCTCCGCACCGGGGCGGGGGTTGTGCCCCACCCTGGGACAGAGCCGTGGGCAGCCCCATCGCTGAGGTCGCAGTGTGAGAATGTAGCCAAAGCCCTGTTGCTGCTGCTGCCGCCGCCACCATCACTGCTGCTGCCACCGTGCCTGCCACGGCACGCAGGGCTGCTGCATGGGACAGTCAGTCACAGGAGTGCGCTTTTGAAGTGCCCCTAGCTGTGAGTGATCCTCTGCCTGCAGGGGCCTCTCTGACCCCCTGACTGGGGCACTCCTGGGCCCGCCCAAGGGTCAGGAGCAGAGGCACGCGCGTCCATATTGAGCCAAGATTGGGGGTGGAGAAGCAGGTTGCCTTTTGAGCCAGGACCTGGGGTGGGGGTGGGGCCGGGGTCTTTCTGCCTCATTTGCTTTCAGTGAAAGCCGCAAAGGAGCCAAAAATCAGGCTCCAACCCCCTCCTGGAGTTTGTATATGCAGAAGCTTTTGTACTTCTTGTTCATGAAATGGTTTATTTTTGTAAAAATAAAATAAGGCAAAAACCTTGATTAGTTAATAAAATGACGCCTCATGGCAGAAGCCCTTCCCAAGCCAGGGTTTCTTAGGCTGTGACCTTATGGCTCTCGGTCATGTTCCTGGTGTGTGTTTAAGGCTGTGTGTGTGTGCCATTGAGTATGAAGCCACCAAAATGTGTGTTCAGGGCCTGCCTCTGTGGTGCCCTCCTGCCCTAACTAGGGCTGCTGACATAACTGTCCCAACAAAACCCATGAGGAGCCAGGCTCCTGGCTGGAACATCTCTGCATGTCTCTCTCCTTCTCTATCTCTGCTTTTCTAATAGATAAGAAATGTCTTTTTATGATCTCATTTATTTGAAAGGCACAGAGAGAAAGGAAGAGACACAGAATATCTGTCCGTTGGTTCATTTCCCAGATGACAGCAACAGCCAGGATTGGGCCAGCGGGAAGCCAGGAGCTTCCTCCAGGTCTCCCATATGGTGCTGGGGCTCAGGCACTTGGGTCATCTTTCACTGTTTTCCAGGAACGTTAGTAGGGAGCTGGATCAGAAACGGAGCAGCCATATGGAATGCCAGTGCCAAAGGTGGTAGACTGACCCAATGTACTACAACACTAGCCCCTAAAAAATAAATCTTAAAAAATAAATGTCCTTTTTCCCCAAGGAGTCTCTCATTTTAATATATGCATGATTCTTAGTATGAAGTTTCCTAATCTGGTGTGTCAGTCACCTTAATGTACTGGTGGAGAAATAGTTCAGTAAAGAGTCATCAGGGATTCAGGCAACCTCCTGAGGGTCAGTTTTGCCCCACACAGGGTTGATCCTAACCCCATAAGGTCAAGGGCGTCTTTCTTCTTCAGAGCCTAAGTGAAGAGTGTACAGAAAAGAGCATGTCAAGAAAGGCCAGCCACACTTGGCAGATCCTGGGACGGAAGGGATGGCAGGGGTGTGTGGCAGCCCAGAGTAGAAGCAGAGATGTGATGGGGCACAGTCACAGCGGGGCTGGAGCAACATCATGGGACGTGCAAGAGTGCTGGTGGGGAAGTCCACACCTTCCCTCCAGCATAGCACTGTGTATCGCCCAGTACACTACCAGCATGCTCTCAGGTACACACATGGGTGAGGGCCTTAAGAAGAATTGGGCAGGAATTTGGCAGTGTCTAAGATGCTGGGTGAGACATCCACTTCTAGTGCTGGCACTGTGGTGTAGCAGGTTAGGCTACCACGTGGGATGCCAGCATCCAATGTGAGTTCTGATCTAAGTCCCAGCTGTTCCACTTCCAATCAGCCCCAAGCTAATGAGCCTAGGAAAGAAGTGGAAGGTGGCAGCTTAGAGCTGAACCTCTGCATCTCTCAGCTGTAAGGTTCAAGTTGATCATATCTGTTTAGCAGAGACATTATGGGAACTCTACGCTGTGACAGGCACAACGGCCAACATCAGGAAGAGTTTGTGCCTAGGGGATATCCTGGACACTGCCATTGCTACTGTTACAGTGAGCTGGACCCTCCGAGGGTCATCTGAACCTTGGCTTGGAAGAGCATCTAGGTTGGCTGAGGAAGACCAAGGCACGGGTGGGCCAGGTGGCCCCTACCCAACACTTAACCAGGAGCACTGCCGAGGAGTGGGGCCAAGCAACCTGGGTCAGCGCCCTGGGGGTTGAGTCTGTGGCAGACAGAGGAGGAAAAGGATTAACATGAAAGCAGAAAATGGGATTAGGAGGCCTCAGGGCAATGTGTCCACCCACCCCCATCCATGACAACAACTTGTTGCTTTTACTCTGTGACTTCTGGAGCCAAGACCACGTGGGATTTGGTCGCTCCCTGCTCCTGGGGATAGAGCCAGGGAAGGACATTCATACAACCCCAAATATGAGACGCCTCCTGCACTAGCCAAGGGGACTGGAGCTGTTACTGACTGTAGGCCAGACCTGGCTGCCTTCAGACACACTTTCTTTATAATCCTCATGTCAAAGACTAGCTGGGTGGTGGCCCAGAGTAGAGCCAGGAGGCAAGCCAGGGTCGCTGCTCCCAGAAGGCTAGCTTCTCCTGAACACACAGGATCAAGGATCCACTCACACTTGCCACTTCCCTTCCTCCTTCCCCAGTCCCATGGAGGACTTGCCACTGGCCAAGCTTAGCTTGAAGGCAGGGGTCTAAGGAACTTGATGCCAGGTACACAACTGTTATCCCTCCAAGCAAGGTGAAAAGTCGGGAGAGTAGACCAGGAACACACCACCCACTCCTTGGGGGGAACATTTGCTTGCATTGTGGGGAGGCAAGCCAGACTTTTCTTTTTTGCTCCCAGTTCTATTTATTTATTATTTATTTGAAAAGCAGAGAGACAGAGAGGCAGACAGAAAGACTGATTCACTTCCTAAATGCCCACTTTGGGTAGCACTGTCATTTCAGCATGTGTTCAGAACCTGGGGCCAGAAACTCCTCCAGACAGGGAACCAGCAACTTGCAGCATCACCACTGCCTCCCTCCCAAGATTCACATTAGCACGAAACTGGAATCACTAACTGGAGTTAGAGTCAAAAATCTCCAATGCAGGATGCAGGTGGCCCATCTAGCATTGCAACATCAGGCCAAACGCTACCCCCTGTCTCCCGCCAAGCTCTTCTCTTAGATAGCCCTCTATAAGTAGACAACAAGTGTTGTTTGGTTGAACTAACAGTCGGAGCCCAAACCTGCAGGGAGTCCTCCTCTGTATGCATCCTCAACAGGTCCTCTGTCGCCCCCAAAAGAGACAAAACCTGTCTTTTGGGAGATGAAATAGCTTAGATTTCACTGTGTCTGTGGCTCTCCAAAGGGCCTCAGGCTGTTCATAGATACACACCATATGTAGGATTTTTGAGTCTTGGGTCAACTTACGGCACAGCAAGTAAGGCCACCACTTGTGAGCACCCGTTCCCACCCAGCACCCTGGGAGAGCAGCTCAGGCTCCTGCCATGCACATAGGAACCCAGATAAAGTTATAGGCTCCTGATTTGCATAATGGAAGATCCCTCTGTTTCCCTGTCTTTCTGTAATCATGCCTTTCAAATAAATAAAACACATCTTTGAAAAAAAAAAAACTTTTTTGTTCATGGGAGGTGGTGGCAATTAGGAAAAAAAGTGTATAACAAAGTCCTTGGTTATGTGGGAGGGTGATGATGAAAGATGGGCTGGGAAACACTGAATTACCCAGACCCAGACCCTTTCTTGGGCTGTCATTAAGAGCTCTGACTCTGGCACCCTCTAAAGTGCAGGTGCTATTCATCTCTAAACTAGTACATCCGTTTATGTGCACTCTGTTTATGCAATCCATAATTTAAAAAAAAAAAAGTGAAATCTGGGGCCGGCATGATGGCTCAACTGGCTAATCCTCCACCTGCATATGTCAGCATCCCACATGGGCATCAGTTTATATCCCAGCTGCTCTACTTCCCATCCAGCTCTATGCATGTGGCCTGGGAGAGTGGTGAGGGGGATGGCCCAGAACATTAGGACCCTGTACCTGAGTGGGAAACCTTGAGGAGTCTCCTGATCAGCTCAGCTCCAGCTTTTGCGGCTCTTTGGGGAGTGACCCAGCAGATGTTAAGATCTCTCTTGTCTTTCCTTCTCTCTTTAAATCTACCTTTCCATTAAAAATAATCTTTAAAATTTTTTTTTCAAAAAAAATGTTTTAAGAACTAAGTGAAGTCTGAATTCTTTTTAACTTAGCGCCTGCCTCCTCCTGACCTCGCCCATATTGAGCACCGCTGGCCTGCATCTTCCCTCCACATGTATCCCTTGGTTAGTGTCTCTCTCCTTGTATGGAAGAGCCCAAGGTCCATGGCAAGCCTACTGTCCCCTCTCTCTGCTTTCACCTGTCCCCTGGGATGCTGGGCACAGTCATGGAGGCCTAGGCATTAGAGCCATGCTTTCCAAGAGCTTTTTTTTTTTTTTTTTTTTTGCCTCTGGAGATGCCACAGGATCTGGGTCCTGACTATCTGGCCTTTAAGTTAATTAGCACACCTGGCCAGCAAGAGCTTGAGGGCTCCATGGCCACATCTCAGCCTGTGGCCCCTGCGGGAGTCCCAGGGTTAACATTTCTTCTTCCAAGGGAAGGCCTGTTTATCCTCACTCTTTATTTCTTATCTCCAAGCCAGTCTCCTATTTGTCACCACACATTCTCCCCATTCCCATGGCGATTCAGCTCCTGTAATGGCTTTGGTAGGGAAGCTTTGCAGAGAATTTTTGAAAGTGTAAGTAGATCAGGTCGCTTGTTCCCCCACTTATCCGTACACTTGTTGGACCCTTCAGAGAGCTCTAGTAGATTAGGGAGGCACAATGTCTCCTTTCCCCTGGAAGTGGAGCTTCTCAAGTACCCCCTAATCCTGCCCCTGGAGGTTCTGTCGACTTTGCCCAGCGTCCAAACGAAGCGCGTGGGCGACTTCCCAGAGCTCACACTGGGCCTCTGGCTCTGCCGCATGAGGTCCCAAGGGAAGGCTTGCGCTCTGTCCTTGCCCTTCCTTCACAGCAATCATGTTTATGGACAGCGGGTGGGATGTGTGCCAAGAGGAGAAGGGGGAGGCAAAATGAAAACAGAATTTACGGCATCGTGGCCCTCCATTGCCCAGCAGTGAGAAGCCAGAGTGATTCATCTGACCTCATGCAGAATGGTGAGCTTCTCTGGGTGACATTCTATTTTAGGACTCTTCATCTCGTTTACACAACTTCTTAGGCGACAGCAAGGGTAGAGATCACCTTTAAATATTCTGGTTTTATTT